TACGTAAGAGCTCGTAGAGACACAAAGCAAGACGACGGGAGGATAAGGAGGGACCCCGCCCAGTGGATCGTATATACCTTGCAAGGGTTGCTGCCACGTGGCCCCTGTAAAACCCGTGTACCTTTATCCCTTGGACGCCGATGTCGTGTGTGCAAGAGGATATACCATACACAACAATACCTGGATCGTTCAAAAAGTTGGGGCATTTTTTTGCGGGGGTAAGACGCACACAACTGGATTTCCAATACATCACGTTTTTCCTTACAACTGCCCATTTCGAGCTTTCACCGATGTTAATGTAAACGCCCGGATATCCCCATTGAAAGGATAACGCGGCACTCGAATAATTAATGAGAATGGTTATTATTAATTTTCGATTGGACACGTGATAACAAAAAAAAAAAAAAAAAAAAAAATGAGCCATCGCAGTTTTCGTCCCGATGAGTCACAGCGAGAGCCGTGTAAGTATATACGAATATACCGACATTTGAAATTAATAAGCCCCCAACGCACTAGAAGCAGCAGATAAAAAGGCCAGCTCGGAGAGTGTACAGCAGTTCTCTCTCTCTCTCTCTCCAATGGGCGGACTGAACTCGGGGGGGGGGGAGAAGGGGGTTGATGTCGCGGTGGCGGCGCAGCTCAGTCAGGCAGGGGTCGCAGCCGACAATGCCGTGCAAACGAGCCACCCCGTCATGCGTGAGGGTGTCTCCCTCGCCACGCCCTTCCCGTCGACGCCGGGCCGCACGGAATCGCAAATTGCCCCCCCATCAGCGCTCTCGAGGCCTCGTTGCTCCCAGCTTCCCTCTCGAGCGAGCTAGTCTCCCTCCCACGGGCTTGGCTCCCTCTTCATACCCCCCCCCCTACGCCGTCGACTGCGCCACAACCACGCATTCGAGGTATACATACCGGGGGAGCTTGGGTTTCTTTTTTTTTTTTTTTTTTTTTTTTTTTTTTTTTTTTTTTATTGCATCACATCGTCGTACCAATTTGCTTGATGGGTTTAATCGGAAAATGTGTTTTGACGCTTTAATATTTCGGGTCGGGCTGTCAGAACAATCAAAGGCGTGCGTTCATTGAGGCTAATAAACAACAGCTTGGTGTGTACACGTATCCGCGTGTATATTAATCTAATGTACTTGGCGTCGAGAGTGCGCTCAATGTATAATATATACCTATACGCATACGGCCACTATAGGTCTGAGATTTGCGTATACATATAGGTACATATATGTACCGGAGTCGTCGCGCTGTTATATGCTACATAATATATTTATCGTATACACGTACACTTCCAGCTGGTTTTAACCCGGGTTCATTCGATAAATCATCATCACTTGACCGTCGCTACACGGCTCGTCTTGAAAATCCATTGGTGCACGCGTATAAAGTACAATTGTAAATAAGCAAGTAATGTATAATGTTGTACGCCTCCTCCGTCCTTCGTCGCTCGATGGCCAACCACCGCGTAACTATACATATACGTTACGGGTACGCATGTAATCAAGTAGCATCGACTCCATCCGCTCGGTATTGTCTCACGCGCGTCCACCACCACGACGGTATAAATGTAACTCGAGTTAAGTGATAATTGCTTCTCTCGAGCGGGGAATCTCTCTCCGTCGTAAATGTTGCCTGGGTGATACGCTACGCCTCGGAATTACTTTACGGAGCGCAATCTTCGCCTTTGACACGATTGTAGACGTACTATGTATTTTTTTTTAACCCTCCTCCCCCTCCCCACTCCTTCGATCTTTGGTAATCTCAAAGTCACTCTAAAAAAAGAAACAATGGTAATAAGGGTGTAAAGGGTTGTCTATGTAATTGAAGCGCCTTGGATTCCATTGAATGGTTCTTCCGATGGACGCTTCAAATCACGAGCGCGTGGATTACATTATATTTACCTAAATACGCGTGGGGCCGTGAAAAAAAAAACAAAAAAGCTCGAGAGTGTAGGTATACATATATTGTACGCGTTTGTCTCAATTAGGGTTTTGTCGTGTGATTTACAAGCCGAACGAGCGGTGGGCATCCGAACGGAAACGTCACCTCTCAAACGACGAATGCTATGTGGGTTAAATACACTAATTGTTTGTGCGTCGTCGTTGATTCGACTCGAGTCAAGAGTAAAACCCATGTGTATATATATTATAATACACGCGCACGTATGAATGCGCTTACACGTGTGTATACACAGCGTTTGGCGAGAGAGGGCCGCAGGGGGTTTTCGATCTCACGCCGCGATAACGCCGATTACACAAAATCCGAGGGCATTGTTCGACTCTCGCCGAGATGGAGGGCTACTTCCAAGTGGCGAACAAGTGGCTTCTCCCTCGAGCCCTGCCGGTAATGCAATTATTTTTCTTTCTTCCTTCCACACATAATACGTGTAATATACCCTGTTCGCGGTGTACTGTTGCTCGGCGATTTTCGACTCCTCGAGGGCTGTTTGTTTGCGAAACCGATCCTGCATTGATATTATACACGTATACTTGAGTGTGCCTGCAACTCACGATGGTGCTTGACTGCGGTGAAAGGAAATAAACAAAAATCACACGGACATACACCATTTTAGATTTAAATCGATTTTACTCATTTTAACAACCGATGCAGATTTTCACGACGACCTGCAGTAATTTGTCAAACCGATCTTTGGCCACGCGGACCCACGCACAATGAAAAAAGCCATCCCACGCTGTAAAAACGATACGCGGTTACGATTTGTAAACTAATACTCCTCTTTTAGAAAAAAAAAAAAAAAGGATACAAAGAAGAAAGGTCCAAAACATGTAGCACGGATATATACACAGATTCGCAGCACAGAAACCAGAGAGAGAGAGAGAGAGAGAAAGGATCCCTCTCGGGTTAAGGGGCGCCGAGTAGGTATATAAGGTATGTACAAAGACGCGCGGAGGAGAGGCAGGGGCACAAAGCGTCGGAATAATAGGCCACAATGGGCAAGGAAGAAAGTGAGGGATCCTCTCGACTGGAAGCACAGGCGCCTCCCTCGAGCCGAGTTTTATATATACATATATGTGCATACACAGAGGCATCAAAGAAGCGGTAGCGAGTAGATAATGTATTGTATATGCATCACCACAACGAACCCTTCAAAAGATTACCAGTCGAGTGCGTTGCCGCCTGTTTATTCGGCGCTGCAGTGCCTCTTCGTTTTCTTCCATGTACCTATAGGTACCCCCGTCTTTTCTTCCTCTTTCCCATTGTATGGTGTGCTTCCCCGAGGAGAACCTGCACAAGTGGGTAAAGTGGACAATGTGTCGGAAACGTGCGTGCGCGTCTCCATTCATCCGTGGGGCCCTGCAACTTGACACTTGTTTGCTTGATTTTTCCCCCGGATCCCGAGGATTTTCCAGATTAAGGGGATACACGGGTATACGCCCGAGATTATCCGAGCATGATTCCGGAAGCACCGCTTGTACCGATCGCCTTTTTTTTCCATCCCCGTATATTATACGTATAGCTGCCTGGCGTGTCAATCGTCGACGATGCTGAAGGGATGGCAAAAAAAAGTAGCTCAAGTAGCTGCTCGAAAACTCACCAACCACGAGTTGCACTCCGTGATCGTTACAAACAATAAGTACCAGGTATCGTGAATTTCCAGTGGTGCTTCCACCAACTTGTCCGTTGATTGCGATAGGCCTGTGCGATACCTGATGTTGGGAGGTAACGAGTGGTCTCGTAAGATTTTCAGATGTCGCATCCCCTGCCGATATTGTCGCTGCAGGACGAGAGTTAACGATTTTTCATATGAATCAATTCTATGTCGTTTAAAATCATGTATTTACGAATGACATTAAAAAAAAAAGGTACACAATTCGTTGTAAGAAAAGAAATGACGATAAGATGTCCATGCGGTGATGGGTATACCTGCTATACTGCCCTACACGAAAGATCGTCAAGATAGAGAGATCGACCGCGTATGGACGACTAGCCGGCTATAAATGTATGCATGTGCTCCCTGTTGAGACTACACGAGCAAGATATAGGAATATATAGACAGTCATAAAAGTGGAGCAGTCGCTCTATATGCGTCCTCGTGTAGAGGTACGTATTATATATGTAAGAGTGGCAGGTGGCGGTCGCAGCTTCAGCAGTATAGCGCGACGTGTGTTGAACAAAGAAAAAAATAAAGAGCTCAGCGCCAGTTGCTAATTTTACCTTTATTTCTTTTCTTTTTCCTCAACTCGTTGACAGTATTTTATAGTGAAATTGTCTTTTACTCACCTGTGCTGCATAAACCATTTGATTATGTTTTATCACAGGAATACCAAGGTGTACGGATAAGGGTCGTTTGAAAGAAAAGGCTTCATTTTTAAATTGAATTAATTAGTTTATATTATTCATATTTTATACAATATTAATCATAATTAAGGTATTTTAGTTTTTTGCTTTTGTCGTAATCTACGTTTCGTACACGGGGCTCCGTTTCTTTCGTTTCGTTACATTTTTCCTCACTTTCGCGTAAGATCGATAAACGGGAAGGCAGGCTTCCCTACGTCACGTCCCGCGAGTATAGACGATTTAGCTCGCAACGACAACCAAAATGCGTGTCCACCGATGATGCGCTCTACTTTTCGCAATGCACTATTTTTACTTAAACTTTTTGTTTTTTATTTTTGTTTTCTTTTTTGTTTTTACATTCTTATCACAATATTATATTTTACACAGATCCACTTACAACTTACGGGCTAAAAAGAGGCTAAGGGATGGGAAAAGAACGGGGTGGGGCCCCGGTGCTCGCGTTTTATATGTATATATATATATATTTATATGTATATGTATATGTGTATGTACACGTAGCTCGTTGAAAAACCGAGAGCTTCGCGAATCGATTTGTTCGTCGACGAGCGCCGAAACTAGTAACGCTACGTTTTATTTCCTACTCGATCCTCGACGCTTCTGCATTACACATCATTTCGCCCCTCACCTCGCGAATCGTAACTCCTCTCTCTCTCTCTCTCGGTGCATCTCTCTTACAATTGTTTTTTTTTTTTTTTTTTTTGCATGAAGCAACACACGCTCGCGCGCACTTGTAGGAACTACAGAGTCTTCGATCACGGATCGCCCTTTCTTTCGTTTAACTATACTTATTGCACCGAAATATATAATATCACGCGGCCCCGATGTAGGCGTGCTCCACTGACTCTCGACACTCTCACGAAGACGTACAATTTGTTACACTCAGACTCACTCACCCGATTTACTTATCATGCTATTAATATATCTATTTGAAAAATCACTCGGCTGCCCGACTCGATTCCGGAATATGATAGCTCTATACCGCGTAGTGGTTGGATTTTGGTGGAGCAATTTCTGTCTCCAACTGCGTCGTAAAAAGGGGGGGGGGGGAATGCAAGAAAAAGGGGAGCAGCGATGAAGAGAAGAAAGGAAGAAAAAAAAAAAAAAAAAGACAAGGATCCATCGGAGCGCCGGAGGAGGAAGAGGAGAGTCCGTTCTCATGAAAGCCATGCAGGCATGCACGAGCATTGTCGAGGCTTGGATGTGGGTCAGTGGCGGTTATATTCGTCGGCGTGTACCTGCACTGACTCTCCTCCCGTTTCCCGTCTCAACGCTGCACGCATGCGTTCACATTTTTTTTTTTTTTTTTTCTTTTTTTTACCAAAAAAGGTGAATATTATTTTCTGTTGTTTTCACAGTTACAAATACTCGGGTTTCGCCACCACGAGGACGATATGAAGTGCGAAGCGGGGAGAAAGAGAGGAGCTCCAGCTCGCGAAAATATCATTACGAAGTTTTGCGGAACGCGACGCAACGCCGGTGGCTACCTCAAAAAATCCTCTCTCTCTCTCTCTCTCTCTGTCATTTTTCAGTCACGAGCCGCGTGCGAATGAATCATCGCTGTGGCAACGCTCGTCTCCTCCGCAAAGCGCGCAAGTTCGTCGCCTCTGGCCCGCGGCGCGTCTGGTGGGAAAAACGTTTTTCAACTTTCGGCGAGCTGCACAATGTAACATTTAGTACGCGGCAATAATGACTACGCGGGGGGGGGGAGGTGTACCTATGTATATATACGTGTGCAGGTAAAAATGGGAGTTGCGCAACGAGCACTCGCTACTGGGGAGGCTGTATACGAAGGGGGGGGGGGAGAAATTACTGCAGCGGGCGAAATGAAAGAAATACCAAAACCGAGGTAAAAAGGCCCGTGAAACTTTTCTTGCCGCGCGCGCTCCTCGCAGAAGGAATCCCCGGCGTTTTTTCGCTCCCGCGTGTCATTCCTCCTTTCTCCTTGTACCGCGGGCCCCGTGACGTGATTTCTTCCTTTTCTGCTGCTACTTCGTATATATACATATACACACGTCGGTATCGCGCGTAACAACACACACAACTCTCTCGCTCCGGCAGAGAAAAAACGGGGGTCGGAGGAGGGGAAAGCTGCAGAAAAAGAACGACAAGAGGGAAAAACGAGAGAGACGGTTGCCACTCGCTGTAGTCCTGAAACCTCTTGGAAAGACGAAAAAAAAAAGGTTTTTTTTTTCCATTTAGTCCTCGTCGCGCTCCGTTTTTGTACATTTTGTCGCGTATAATACCGCTCTCGGAAAATTTGCTGAGAAACTCCGCGACTGGAGAGACGACACGCGACATCAGCTCCCGCGTGCATGGCTGATGCGACATTTGTTGTTATCGTATCGTTCGCGTGTTGTTTCCATATCCCAGCCGCCGCTACATTTTTTTCATAATTTAACGTAATATCGTCTATGTGTACAATACGATGCCTGCCTGGCAATGCTCGGCGGACGACGTCCTGCATCGGCGCGATATCGATATATAAATACGTCGTTTCCCGTTTATTTTTATTCATACGTGTACTCTCGTTAGACACACACACACATATACATATACGTATGGATATATCTAGGTATGTATGTACATGCTTATAATAAAATCTGGGTTTTTTTTTTTCTGTTTAATTCCGCCTCGTTGATTTCTGAAACTTTTCATAGTTTTTTTTTTGTTTTTTTTCTCTATATAGTATGCGCGATTCACGAGATCACAACTTTACAATCGCGACGGACAAAACATACGCAGGAAACACCGTTGTGGGTGAATCGTCGGAGTGTAAAGCTCAGTTTTTTGTTATTTCCTTCATTATTTATATATTTATATTTATGTATATCATCAACACTTGGCTTCGGCTCGACTCCGGTGAAACTCTCGTCGTAAGTCGTCGCTGTGGCCATCGGACTCCGAAGCAACCCCGCGGTGATCGCCTTTTCCTTCTCCTCCGAGTGCACTATATTTTTACACGGAGCTCCGAGAGAGTTTGCGCATCGAACGTCCCCCTCGTTTTTCCAAGTTTTTTATTTCTTTTTTAACATTTTTTTTTTTTTTTTGTTTTCTTTAAGTAAGTTCATGTCTCTCGAGGCTCCTTCTTTGTCTAAACCGTGGTCCCGGATTACAGCCGGCTTCGTTAAACCGTCGGCCACACCCTGCAACAGAAAAATGAGCAAAAGCTCGCTTTACCCCGCAGTCGAAATATCATTTTCCCAACACATCATCCTGAACACACATTAGACGTACATACACCTTGCACGGAATTTATTCGCGCGTCAGAGGACATTGAATACATCGAAAGTGCAATTTTTCCCATTTACTCTACGATGAAAGAAGCAGGGGGGGCTGGAGAGGATGTGCAAAGGGGAAACAAGGTATGGCGGGGAGTAACAAACACAAAGAGGGCATAATAACCTTACGTGAGTAATCCGGGGTTGGGATCCGCCTGGTACCAGGAGTACTGGGGCATGTAGCCGGTGAGATGGGGCGGCGGTGGCGCTGGTGGTGGATTGTAGTCGGGCCTGTGGGGGTGGTGGTGGCTGTGGGGCGGCGCGTGGGGGTGCGGATGGTGCTTCATCTCGCTGGGCCAGGCGGGCGCGGGTGGGCTCTCGTTGTGCTGGGGCGACATGTCGCTGCCCGGACTCGAACTCGCCGGGGTGTGGCCGCCCGCACCGCCACCCATGCCCCCGAGGTAGCCCGTCGTCGGGCTCCCCGACACCGAGCTCCCGCCTCCTGCAACATTGAAGAAATAGTCTTACCATCAGTGTAAGTCGGCCGATCTTTCCCGTCACTGCCGAGCTTGCAAGCTCGTTGGCGACAGTCTGTTTTTTTTTTTTTTCTTTCTTTCTTTTTCCATTCTCTTTTCTTTGGGCGAGAGAAGATGGAAAAAGAAAAGGAATCGGACGAGTGGGTGGATGGATGGGTCGTTCTTACCTCCTTGCATGAGGCCACCGGGTTGTCCGGGTTGTGGAGAGGGGCCGCCCGGCAGCGCTGCGCCTCCGGCGAGTAGACTGTGCTGGCCGCCACCTCCACCCCCCTGCTGCGCCGCCTTCATCATCTTCTTGTACTTGCTCCTTCGGTTTTGAAACCAGATTTTCACCTGAAACACCAGACGTAAACAAAATCGTTACCACAATCGTCAATATCATTTTAACTATGAGAATATATATATATATTATATATTGATTTTGGGATGTAGAAATTTGACAAAGTCGTAGTGATCTTTCTTTCTCTGTAATGCAGTTACCACGCTAAGCTTCAATACAGTAATATTATTGTGAAAAAATGGAATTCTTTAATAACGAGTCGAGGCACACCTATTGTACTCGTGGGCACAAAATTCACGCAAGAGGACAGGTTTTTTTTTTTTTCTTCCTCAAAGCATTTCACGGAGTCAATAAGACAGAATCAGTCAGAGCAACAAGTCCACGGGAGCACAGATACCATCAACGGGCAACAAACAATGGCTCGCTCTCGCGCGTATACCTGTAGGTATAGGATAGATCGTCGGACAATGCCTATGTGACAGCGGTAGCACCGAATACCTATACCCAGTGCACCTATCGCAAGGTGTACGGAATCGATCGCAGGCTCGCTTTTTTTTCATATCATCGGCAGCAGAGAGTCTATATGCTATACTAGACCCACAACTCGCGCCTATACAAACCTGGTGTACATAGGCTGCGCGACACGTATACCCACCGTGAATGCAATGCACGTGAGCTCGCGAGGCTGGCTTTTGTTACGTAAGTTATTCCCCGCGTGCGTGTGTATCCGCGGACAAGTGCTGCAGGCTCTCGTGGCGAGATATATAATTGGCATAAGTGTATATATGTGCCGGCATCTATATGAAAAAGAGCAAAAAAAAAAAAAAAAAAAAAACCAATAAGTAGGTGTACGCACAGCGGCACAACAACGGCAGAGTGAATAAAACGCGGGAGGAGAGAGGCAGGAGGGAGGAAGTTGGCTTTGGTTGGTTCCCGCTGGATTTTCCATGATCGCGCTACAGCCTCTATTATTCCTCTCGCGAGTTTTTTTCTCTCTCTCTCTCTCTGCTCACCGCCCCTTATATACCTCGTAGCAAATGTGCATACATATGCTCGCGCTTGTTTCTAAATTACAGGCTATCGATCGTCATGATGTGCCGTGTCATCGCCGACTGAATTTCCGAGTACGTAGGAAAATGCATATACACTTGTGTGCTCGTTGCGCTGTAGGTGCTTGCGCTTGAATCGACGGAATTAAGTATACTATACCGATTTTTAGTACGTGAAACAATTTTTTTCATTTTTTTTTTTTTTTCAAGGAAAGCGTCGTTACGTAAAGCTTCGCGGAATCCTCGCGGATTATCTCGCATTGTGATATAGCATTGGAGGGGAGATAAAAAATTGCTCATTATTTTCCTACACACACATAGGTAAGCAAGAAAATAAAATATTGTATACACGTCGTGGCTGCAGCAACTTCGTCTGGCTCTTCGACTTCTTATGCCCCCCCCCCACCCGCACAAAACTGCAACAGCAACATGTTTAATTAAACGGTATAGCGCGCAGGAACTTCACAACTTGATGAAAAACAAAAAAAAAAAAAAAAGAAAGAAAGAAAAGAAAAGCCAGGCGAAAGATACTCTCGGATAGAGATAAAGAGAGATGGCGAGGTTTGTGCGACTTGCGAAATAGAAAGAAAGAGATAGAGAGAGAGAGAGGATGTATATATGTATCTCGAGCCTGGGTTGCGTAATCGCCCGGGGAGTATTGCGTTCTGCAGGCGAGCGAGCGAGAGAGAGACTCTGTTCTCGCGAGCGGGCGCTTTTTTGCCCGCTGATACGTCAATCAAAAGCCTTTACAGTTATTTTAATCAACTAAGTCTGGGGGCCCTCGCTCGCCTCTCTTTGTGCAAGAGCGTGTGTACCTATATATATATAACTCTGGCATCGTGTGTGTGCGTGTATATTCCGCGAGCGGGGAAGAGAGGCAATGTATAATGAAAGGATGAACAAAAGGAGCAGCACGGAGATGACGACGGCAAGAAGGACGCCGTTGGTGGTGGTGATGCCGCCACTGCTCCTCTCGAGGTAACAAAACAAAAAACTTAAAAAAGGCCCGGGACGGGGGAGGCTGGAGAAGTGATGCCGGGGCGTCATGTCAAAACGAGTTCATTATACGACTACACGGCGCAGGTTCGCCAAACCTCAAAAGAGGAAGAAGAGCGCCTCTGCTGCAGTGCGAGTAAGCACAACGTGTGTGTGTGTGTGCATGCTGGTATATCAGGGGAATTCGTTTTATTATAATAGGTGTATCATGTGCAGCTGCATTGTACGACCGCGTTAATCGAGTCGCGACTCCATCCACGGCTTTCTTTCTTTATTTTCCCTCTCGCTGTCGAGGGGTGGCTGCAAGAAAAAACAAAAGGAGGGAAGGAGACGCGTCCCGTGATTGAGAAATTCAATGCTTTTTACACAAAATTTACCGCATTTTAAACTATACATGATTGTGTTATTTAATGGAGCTACATTTTTACATCGACCTCTAGCCCTCTGTAAATTACGTTTGTAGGTACATAAATATATGCTTGTAACGGATTAATAACGGAGCCTGGACACTATGTACCACAGGTAGCAGTTATTGAGGGAGGGGGGGGGGAGAACAAAAGCGCCCGCGTCTCCGTAGAGGTGATAAATTACGAAAAATTTATCCTGGTCTATATGTATATACCACGTGTAAAATTACTTGTTTATGCGTATAGCTGCTACCGTAAGCGCGGATTATTATACAAGGCGCTCTCGAAAACACAAGGAGTACATCAGGTATATATATGCTCAGGTTGCGATCGAGGAGGAAGCAGGGGAAGAAAAAAAAAAAAAAAAAAAAAGAACAACAACTTGCTCATCAATCAGCGGAAATTTTAAATGCCTGCTCGGCTGTCCGTACGTATACAGGTACGTGTAGGCACACAACAATATATCACGCACCTGCTCACTGTACATACAGTAAGAGTCGCTATACAGGAGGGTGGGGGGGGGTGAAGGGGGTCGTGAGGCATGTTATGTAGCATCAAGTAAATCTTTGGCTAATTGTCCGATGAAAAAGAAAGACCGACAAAGGCGATCCCGGAGAGAGCCACCGCTGCGTACTCGCGTTGCTCTTCTTTTTTCCCCCTCCTTCTTTCTTCCTTTTTATTCCTTCTCCCCCCGTCGCGGAGTTGTCGATATTTATCATCGGATGGAGGAGCTCTGGCGCTTGTTCGCACGTTTTTGTCACTGCTCCGTCAATAAATCCTACGTAGGTATACAATAATAAATTGATCGCTGCACCGATTTTCCACGGACGCCCGTGCTACTATAGTCAAATCTTCATTTTCCATTATTTACGAGCACCGAGTCCAACGAGATATATACATATACATTATGTCACACGCGCGCTCGCAGCAACATTTTTGCATTTGATTAATATCTTTTTTTTATCCACGATGCACCTAACCTGCTCCCTACGGTATATATTATATATGTAACGTGTGTGCATAATACACACAGATCGGGAAAAACGATTAGGTTTTTTTTTTTTTTTTTTTTTTCAGAGGAGCATGATGCGGACCCTCGAGACGAGGCGTGGGCGCCAAATAAAGTATAGTTCCTCCGTATCAGTATAATACAACGTATCCACATAGGACTCGCCGGCACCTGTTGCTGTAGCTAAAGAAACGGTGCGATTCGGTACATATACTTATCGCGTATCCGAGAATTAGAATCTACGCGTATAGGAGGTTGGGCTCGGGGGTGGAAGGAGGGTTCTTTTTTTTTTTATATATATATTTATCGAAGATAATGGGAAATATAAAAATCAACGACCGCGTACAGGCACAGATAAACTTTGATAAACCACCGAGATATGTAAATTAAATTCCAGGGTGTCGAAAAAGTAGTACAAAACCGTATAAGGTATATATATATATAATATATATACACACGTAGTATAATTATAATTCACGTAAAATCTCATGCTCGTTTTTCCTTGTCTGCATTTTTGCCGATCTTTATAATATAAGGAGCCAACTCTGATACCACGTGAATATGTATATATGTTACACATAATAGGAAGAGAGAAAAGAGGGACGTGCGAGCCAAGGATTATGCATTCCGTAGGTCACTTCTTCTTTGGCGAAATCATCAATGGTAATGAGGCTCGCGACACAAAGCGAGCAGTATAGAATAAAGAGGCCTCGACGAGTAAAGCCGAAAGCAGGCAGCTATACACGTATACACGTAAGTACGTATACATGGATGGATTATACACCAAGATGTAGGGGTGTGTGTGTGTGTGTATCCACCATACACACACACACACACACAGAGAGAGAGAGAGAAAATATATCGGGAGGAAGGAGGCGCGGCTTCGGGCGAAAATGCATTCGACGGGCGGCCGGTGCTGTCGATCGCCACTGATGCATACTCAATGAGGAACGGCAGCCAGCGTCGCCCGCGGTATTAAATGAAAATATAAAATACGAGAGATTGATGCAGGTTGGTATGCCTATACACAAAATGTACGAGCTGCTGCTGCGAGCAGAGGGAGGAGACTTTAATATTCATGAGAGCAGAGAAAGAGAGAGAGAGAATCTAGGAATTCATCTATATTTACGGTGACGCTCACCGGCCGGAGCTTTGCACGATTTTCTACGCTGCTCCCGTGCTTTATATAAATTCCCGGGGAAGGAGGGAAATGAGAAAATTAAATTTTTGTGTAACTAACTTTGTTGTAAATACGCCTACGTTTGTCCCTCCCCTTTTCCTATATACGTATCGTCTAGGATTACGATACTCTGGAGTGGCGCGTGGATACAAGGTGTAGTTTTGTAACTCGCTCGCGGCAGTTTTGACTCCGGTGCATGCAAATACCTCCGTCTTTTGCAACGAGCGTTGAATCGAGGGTATATATAACCACGGATAGGAGCAGCGCGCGGAATAACATTTCAATATTTTTCCATACGATTTGCTGAATTTCCACAAGAATTTTTGCTACTTTTCCAACAGCTCGTATACAATGTTTAAGTAATATGGAAAATGACGGAGCGCTTACACCCTTACCCCGGCTCGGTTGCACA